GTAATATAAATCAGGTATATAATCCCTCTGGCATTTTTCATATTTCCCATTTGACACAAATTCACTTTCTTTGAGAGGACTTAAATAAATTATGTGGCTAAATGTTTAGACTGAGTAGTTTTGATCTAAGCTGAATCTCTAGGCTTCAATTTCATGAGCATGAACTCATTTAAACAGCTCCTCACTAAAGGAAAGGCTGTCAATACTCTAACATCCCATCTTTGTGGATGCATAGAACAACTAAATCCGTTAGCATGATGCTAGTGTTAAGGCTCAGAATGTGACTTCCAAGAAAGTCAAGAGACTTGTACAAAAGTTCAAGAGATTTGTACAAAAATCACTGTTTTTTTCTACTTTCATATTGAGGTAGTGAGTGTATGTAAGGATCCCACTGCACATAAAATTGGCTAAGACTTCCCTCTTCATGTACTTCCCACCCAAACGCAAATGCTTCACTTATATCTCACTAGACAACAATTCTGAATAACTGAATCTATTTATTTAATTTCAGAGTCTATCTCAATTCTGTGTAAATGAAAGGACTGGAAGATGGCACAGAAGAAGGTGGCAGTTGACCAAGTCTTTCTCTTCTGTGCAAACTGCCCTGGAATCATCAGATGTCTCTGACCTATTGCATTTCTCAGCTCTCGTCTCCACAGTTTCTCACGGCCCCTCTCAACACACTCAGAATCCACCTCATCTCAATAGTTCTTCTCCAAGGGACTATCAATTGAGTATCAGTAAATAACTGAGTCATAAATGACTATAGAGAAATAGGTAAAGTGACAGTTTAGCCTCAAAAGTTATCAATCACAGTTTTCTTACATGTAAGTGGTGCATAAAGTTTTCTTATGAAGGTGGTTTCTCTAAGCCTGGTGTGTATGTGGTTAGCTAAGAGAGGCCTCTTAGTTCTGCAGAACCATTCTGATTCCTTTAAGTAATCACAATCATTACCATGAAAGTATTTACTGAAAGCTGGACTGGACAGTGATTGTACAATCTGATCTGGCAAATGCACAGAAATTGTACTCCAGATAACATATTAAGGCACTAATTACTCAAATGAAACTCCAGGGGCATGTTAGGTAGACACAGTACAGTGAATTAAGGAAGGAAATAATTAGTCACACTTGCAGAAACTAGCTAAACACAAAGTGAAAGAAGGCATGCAGCCTATTTCCTGCAGAGTGCAGGGAGCTTCAGAAACAGAACAGGCAAAAACACAAGAGAAATGCTGAAGATAAACATGACTTCTACAAATGATTAAGAAAGGGACAAAGTCTCAATTTTAAATTACAAAAATGACTTTATTTAAGTTATTTTCTATTCCTATGTACTACTTAGCCAAATAACATTAAGACATCTTAGAGTGTATGTAAGGATCCCACTGCACATAAAATTGGCTAAGACTTCCCTCTTCATGTACTTCCCACCCAAACGCAAATGCTTCACTTATATCTCACTAGACAACAATTCTGAATAACTGAATCTATTTATTTAATTTCAGAGTCTATCTCAATTCTGTGTAAATGAAAGGACTGGAAGATGGCACAGAAGAAGGTGGCAGTTGACCAAGTCTTTCTCTTCTGTGCAAACTGCCCTGGAATCATCAGATGTCTCTGACCTATTGCATTTCTCAGCTCTCGTCTCCACAGTTTCTCACGGCCCCTCTCAACACACTCAGAATCCACCTCATCTCAATAGTTCTTCTCCAAGGGACTATCAATTGAGTATCAGTAAATAACTGAGTCATAAATGACTATAGAGAAATAGGTAAAGTGACAGTTTAGCCTCAAAAGTTATCAATCACAGTTTTCTTACATGTAAGTGGTGCATAAAGTTTTCTTATGAAGGTGGTTTCTCTAAGCCTGGTGTGTATGTGGTTAGCTAAGAGAGGCCTCTTAGTTCTGCAGAACCATTCTGATTCCTTTAAGTAATCACAATCATTACCATGAAAGTATTTACTGAAAGCTGGACTGGACAGTGATTGTACAATCTGATCTGGCAAATGCACAGAAATTGTACTCCAGATAACATATTAAGGCACTAATTACTCAAATGAAACTCCAGGGGCATGTTAGGTAGACACAGTACAGTGAATTAAGGAAGGAAATAATTAGTCACACTTGCAGAAACTAGCTAAACACAAAGTGAAAGAAGGCATGCAGCCTATTTCCTGCAGAGTGCAGGGAGCTTCAGAAACAGAACAGGCAAAAACACAAGAGAAATGCTGAAGATAAACATGACTTCTACAAATGATTAAGAAAGGGACAAAGTCTCAATTTTAAATTACAAAAATGACTTTATTTAAGTTATTTTCTATTCCTATGTACTACTTAGCCAAATAACATTAAGACATCTTATCATAAACTTGCACTATAACAAATTAACGTTCAAGCATTTTCTCAACAGTCTTAGAGGTTTTGCCAGGATTTGACACAGTTTGAATACAGAAAAGACAGTGAGAGAAAACGGGGCAGAATAAAAACTGAGTGAGCACATAAGGCATTGAGTTTTCAACCATAGTAAAAATATTAAGAACAGAGGCAGCATCAGGTGGGAGATGGAATGGTATTAGCTGAAAGCAAACTTACCACTTTTAAAAACCCTGCATAAGAACTGTTATTTAACATGGCCAAGACATTAAGTTGTTCCAAGGTACATACCCCTTTTCAAAGTCTTTTGATTAAAAAGAATTTTCATTGGGGCAGGAGAAAACCCTCTTCTCTCTCACCAAAATGAATGCAAGGCTGTTGCTACCTTTTTCAGTGAACGGATTTGGGAAGGTGGAGCTAAGAGGGGGTGCCTTGTTCAGAAGGCTCATACGAAATTGTATTAGAAGCATGTCACTGAGGCCTAAACCTGAAGTCAATGGCAGGTCTTGTTGGGACTGTTCAGGTTTTCTTACGATGTGTCTGAGTAGATGAGAAAAGATGAGAACATCTTGCAGACCCCTTAAGTATCCCCTCACTAACAACTGCGCTGTTCTGTTAATTTGTTCTGCTAACTTAAGGTTCAGTATGGAACCCTTGTCTGAGTTACTGAGATCCTGCCAAAAATGTGAACTGCCCAAATAACATTAGCACATTGAGGATTAACATGAGAAAGTTAATTGACTCTTAGTCTTGAAACAAATGGAAATCATATTGAAATTCATCTTACCTATTCACTGCTAAGTACTGCTGACAGTTTTCATTAAGATGGATCATGAATGTTCATAGTTTAAGTAAATGTTACTATTGATCAGTTGTTTAGTATGAGATTCGAGAGTAAAATAAACCACTTAAAAGTTGAATTTTTTTTTTTCTTACAGAATTAAGAAAACAACAGTAAAACTCCTCTTGGGGGAAATGGTAACGATACAAAGCTTTTGTCTTCTCTTCCTTAATATCAGAAATTGGAAGACATCATATCTCAAGAACTTGGACTTTCCTCATCCCAAGGGACCCAAGGAAGGTTCCAGTTCGCTTAAGCCTTTCTCTACAAAGATGGCTTTGAGAGGCAGTTAAGGAGGCCCCTCTAAATAAACACCAATTCTCATAGCAGGCATATTTCCCAAGGCTTTCTGAAAAAGTGCTTGCTGTGTAGGACGTCACACCTATTGTTAGGACTAATTATAATAGCTACAGGGGAAATGTAATGGCAGGGAAACGGTGGACCAACAAGAACACTTTACAGCTGTAAATAACAGGGTTCACTGCCTCAAGAATCTTTATACCAAAAGTTTTTGAAAACACTTGTGTTAAGAACAGAACAAAAACCTAACACACAACTAATTTTCTGAGGTGTGGTCTTCTTAGGTGCATTCCATTGGGATACATTTACTTGCTCTGTTTCAACCAGACTATCGCCAGACAATTGTCTGTTCTACACTCAACCATTAAAACTGACCAAAAAGTGTACCCATTATGGGTTTTAAGCATGAGTGCTTTTATATTTACACAAGTAGTTTTGCATGAATACCATAGAGGTTGGAAAAAGAGAGCTAGTTGTTCCTTTTTAGCAAGAGCACTTGTAAAATTCAGAAAGGGATTATGTAAATACCCCCTTTACACTGAGTTGATCTGTTAAAGGATTTCAGAAAAGTCAGCAGTTCATTTACCTGAGTTGAGTTTCCCATTTAAAGGCTAAATAGTAATTGAGTGCTTTTTACTTACAAACGTGAGCAAAAACCTACAATATTAAAAAGGGCCAGAGTCAGAAAATTTAGACTCAAGATGAAGTTTGAGACCATAGAATTTTTACAAAATCTAATAGAAACGTTTATGAATTTTCCTTCTTAGTTAAAACATAAAGTCATAGAACTATACTAATTTGCAGGATGTGATTTAGAATTTAGGTTGGGGGTCAGCCTGAGAAATCAAGAAAGCAAATCAAATTCTTTTATAATTTTGAGCAAATTGTTATGGGAGATAAAAACAACATTAGTGACTTACTTCAGTTATGAACCTATATGAGATTGAGTGAAGCCCAGATAAAGACTTCAGCATAAATATGATTTTTAACCTGAATAGTTCCTTACTGAAGCGTGATACAGAAAATGACTATAAATTTTATCCAGAAAAAAAGTGCACCCAGTGTTTTACTAGTAGTTATCTAAGCTTACCTTTCAACACGTGTTTTTGTCATGCTCAGCCATAGACAATCTTCCAAGTTTTTTGTTAATTTGTTTAAAACAGGGTTGTGTTTCTAAGGACAACACATCATTCATAATCAAGATCCTAACAATATTCTGGAATTGAATATGATAGCCTACAAGAAATACAGCCATGTTATTATTTTAAACATATTGTTTCAATTCTAGGTCAAAACAAATCGGCTATACGAAATCATCATTCCAACACTTTAACATAGTGCAGAAACAGTGAAACCATTTGGTCTACATGATTCAATTATTACTTAAATGAAAAAGCATCTCTTTCCCAAATCCTTCACCCCACGATGTATCATGACATTTACAACATGATTGAGGTACATACATCTGCTGAGTAGTTCTTATATTTGTGTTCCATATATGATTCAAAGCAGCACTGAGCAAAGTCACCAGGATCCAAGGAAGAAACTTTAAAAGCAGCATTTTGAAACCCCACATCATCTTCCTACTTTCTTTGATTGCTATGAGGCAGAACTTTCTTAGATCTGAAAACAGTGTGAGTTTGGTACGTAAAATAAAATTCCCATGATCAGTGGCACTGGTTGGTCCCAGGTTGAGGGCACAAAAAGTGTTTTCATTTTCCTGTTCTACACAGACTCATAGTCAGTGAAAAATTTTGCCGAAGACCCACATTATGTCAGATGTTTTTTAGAACAAAGATAAATAAAAGCTCTGCTGTTCCCAAGTAACATCCACTTAGCAATGTATTCACACTTTTAAAAAAAGTAACAGAACTCTTTTAGATGAGATGCTTATTTTAAGCCAAAGAGAGCTGATGAAGAGTTCCTGCACTTATATTCCCCAGCATTCACAGCAAGGGTAGGTTTGAGTGAGATCAATTCATATATCTACTTTTATATATGTCTATAAGTGGATTATTTTGTATAACAGGGAGAGTTTGAATAGATTACCACTGCCACACTGCCTGGAGAAATCAGTGGGCTTCACTGGAGTGTACCAGCTCTTTAGCAGAGTTTTTTCTCACTAGCTTTACTAGTGGGTTTTTTTCCATCTGACGTACCCACATATCAAGATATCAAAGATGATTATGTTAGCCAAAAACCAGGCTTCTAATTCTATGATTTTTAAATGTAATTACCTATTAATTAAAATAAATCTAGTGTCTTGTTTCTCTTAAGGTTGTTCACCAATACTACATAGGAATATTGAGTTTAAAGGGTGGGAGCCTCTGTATCTTGTTTTTAAACGATATTTTTTTAATGTTCATAAAAATGCAAATCAGTTAAATTATAAATGACCAGTTCAAGCAAGCCAAACATGGAAAATTATTGTCTTCACTCACAAAATCCTTATCTAAGGATAACTTTAACTGTCAGATATACAAAACAACATGATTTAGGGTTCTGTGGGAGGTGAGGGAGAATAAAAATAATAGTCTGTGATGATGCACTTACGTGAATTCACACAACAGAGAAGAGTTTTCTGTAGAATGAAGGAGCTAGCCAATGGGGAATGCAGCTGATATTAAAATAACCAGCATGGATTTCTTGGCACACATACAATGAAAACAAAAATAAGGACTGCATACAGGTATAAACAATCTAAAAATGACCTTGGCAAAATGTCTTCACCTATTTAAAAAATACCCAAAAGCATGCAACATAAAGTTCCCTCCCCTTCACAAGAATGTAACTGAAAAGACAAAAAAAACCCCACAAAAAACCAGATAGAACCATCTGTTTCTGTCAGTGGAAGACAATAATACATATATTAGATTCAAAGACAAATAAAACTTTAAAATATTAATATTGAAAAAATACAATTAAATTTTTATTAAAAAATACACACTCCTTAATCTTTGTGTACATTTTGTTTTGTGTGGAAAAAAAATAGGAAAGGCATTAAGACTACCTAATTATTTATATTGTATTTGGCAGAAGCATGTTTCAGTCAAATTTTAAACAAAAATAAGTTATTCTGTTTTCATTTGCTCCCGGACATCAGAAGGCAGAGTTTCAAACAGAGCGTCTTCTACAACTAAACCAGCCCGCTTCAGAGCCCGGCAGTCACCCAGTTCAGGAGGCAAGATTTCAAAGTGATTGCCTTTAACATCTAAGTAGGAAAGAAACAGTAAATTTCCAATTTTTGGTGAAAGTACTGATAGGTTGTTTTTCCCAATCTTCAGAGTTTTAAGTTTCTTGCAGAAGTAGAGTTCGTCTGGAAGGCTTTCCACTTTGTTACAAGTGATGGAAAAATACTGTAAACTTTGTAGAACTCCAATTTCAGGTGGGATAAATCGAATGTCATTGTAGGATAAGTCCAAGTATCGGATTTTGTTGCACAGGAAGAGGTGGGAAGGCAGCACCTCTATTTTATTGTGACTGAAAGACAGACGCTCCAGGCTGGTGAGTTTCTTTATATGCTCTGGGATATAGGTGATGCTGTTGTGCCACAGTTTTAGCACTGTCAGTTTTCTCAGGTGCTGGAAGCTGACGATTTCTTCTATAGATTTCAGGTTATTTTCCTTGAGGTCCAATTCCTGGAGGCTAAGCAGGCTGAACACGGCGTGAGGAATGCGCTCCAGGTCGCAGTGGACTAGCTCCAGCTCTGTCAGATTGGTCATCTTCTTCAAATTGTTGAGCATCACCAGCTTGGTGCCATCGTTATGTATGCACATCTTCTGGAGGTGGCTGGAAACATCAGCCACTGCCTGAGGGATTTTGGAAACATTGCTTTTGATGGAGAGAATTTTAAGGCTTTTGAGATCCCGCAGAGACTCAAGGGTGATATTTCTGGAAATATCATGACTTAGAGAGCCAACCAGGTAGAGCTCTTCCAGATTCCGGAGTCCATACATCCAGGGGGGCAACTCCCTCATGTCATCAAACTTGACACTCAAGACCTTCAGGTTTTCTTTCAGGAAAGACAGCGCCGCACAGTGGATCTTGACTGAGCACTGGTGTAGAGAGAGTTCTTGGAGATTGTCAAGCTGTGCAATGGTGGCTGGTATCATTACATTCTTAATGATTTCAAGTTTTAGAGATTGCAACTCTGTGATTTCAAAAACAGTATCTGGAAGGCCAGAGAGCATGATAAGAGGCAACTCTAGCCGGTTATGGGCATTTGTCTGCAGCTTCTGCCTCAGTTTGTCAGGAGTCCACTCGTTGTTTAAGTTCAGCTGCTTTAATTTGTTTTCACTCACTTCAGACAGGAACACTGCAAACCTCTTAGAATACAGAGGGTCATACTGATCTATCATATGAAGCATAAAAGCAAAGTCATTTTTCACATCTGGGATATCATCAATTCACCGGACATCAGAAGGCAGAGTTTCAAACAGAGCGTCTTCTACAACTAAACCAGCCCGCTTCAGAGCCCGGCAGTCACCCAGTTCAGGAGGCAAGATTTCAAAGTGATTGCCTTTAACATCTAAGTAGGAAAGAAACAGTAAATTTCCAATTTTTGGTGAAAGTACTGATAGGTTGTTTTTCCCAATCTTCAGAGTTTTAAGTTTCTTGCAGAAGTAGAGTTCGTCTGGAAGGCTTTCCACTTTGTTACAAGTGATGGAAAAATACTGTAAACTTTGTAGAACTCCAATTTCAGGTGGGATAAATCGAATGTCATTGTAGGATAAGTCCAAGTATCGGATTTTGTTGCACAGGAAGAGGTGGGAAGGCAGCACCTCTATTTTATTGTGACTGAAAGACAGACGCTCCAGGCTGGTGAGTTTCTTTATATGCTCTGGGATATAGGTGATGCTGTTGTGCCACAGTTTTAGCACTGTCAGTTTTCTCAGGTGCTGGAAGCTGACGATTTCTTCTATAGATTTCAGGTTATTTTCCTTGAGGTCCAATTCCTGGAGGCTAAGCAGGCTGAACACGGCGTGAGGAATGCGCTCCAGGTCGCAGTGGACTAGCTCCAGCTCTGTCAGATTGGTCATCTTCTTCAAATTGTTGAGCATCACCAGCTTGGTGCCATCGTTATGTATGCACATCTTCTGGAGGTGGCTGGAAACATCAGCCACTGCCTGAGGGATTTTGGAAACATTGCTTTTGATGGAGAGAATTTTAAGGCTTTTGAGATCCCGCAGAGACTCAAGGGTGATATTTCTGGAAATATCATGACTTAGAGAGCCAACCAGGTAGAGCTCTTCCAGATTCCGGAGTCCATACATCCAGGGGGGCAACTCCCTCATGTCATCAAACTTGACACTCAAGACCTTCAGGTTTTCTTTCAGGAAAGACAGCGCCGCACAGTGGATCTTGACTGAGCACTGGTGTAGAGAGAGTTCTTGGAGATTGTCAAGCTGTGCAATGGTGGCTGGTATCATTACATTCTTAATGATTTCAAGTTTTAGAGATTGCAACTCTGTGATTTCAAAAACAGTATCTGGAAGGCCAGAGAGCATGATAAGAGGCAACTCTAGTCGGTTATGGGCATTTGTCTGCAGCTTCTGCCTCAGTTTGTCAGGAGTCCACTCGTTGTTTAAGTTCAGCTGCTTTAATTTGTTTTCACTCACTTCAGACAGGAACACTGCAAACCTCTTAGAATACAGAGGGTCATACTGATCTATCATATGAAGCATAAAAGCAAAGTCATTTTTCACATCTGGGATATCATCAATTCCAGTCTCCTGCCGGACATACTCGAAAGAGTATTCCCTTAGAGAACGGTAGAACAGCCAGTACAAGGTATAAAGGCATGTCAGTCCGTAGATACTTACAAAGCACAGGTAACAAAAGGACAGTTTTGAGAACAAGTGTGCCATGGTGTGATTACAAGAAAAGTTTTTATATCCAGTCATGTCCTGAATGTCAACATTACAGTCCACGGTAAACTGGACTTTGGAAACCAGGGCACTATTATATGCAATGATGATCAGGAATTTTATAACCTTAAGTACAGTCTGGCGGACATACATAGCATATAGTATATCACCTTCTTCTACGTGCAGCCTGAACTTCTTCACCTTCTCAAATAAGGCCTTCGCTTGCTCCCCTTCCTTCTTATCCAGAGCCCCTGCAGTCGACTTGTCAACCACAAACTTCTCAGGAATTGACTTTAAGGATTGAGAGTTGGCCAGGCTGCCTTCCGGCCCAGACTGGATGGTGTTGGACCTGCTCATGTTGTTCTTCCTGTTGTCCTTTTCTTCTGAGTCCTCCCCAGAAACTTCAGACAAAGCCCGTGTGGTCCAGGGAGAGTCAAAACACTTCCCTAGGATTGAAATGAAATGTTCTATTTTGGAGCTGGAGCCAGGGAATTTGAACCAAAAGTTGCTGCAGAGCATGAAGACCAAGGTATGGATAAGGACAAGGTAAGGGAAATACTTGGCGTACCAGTGAAGGGCTCGCTCATAGCACATCTGGTTTATGAAGCTGTACTGCTGAAGGTCCAGATCTGTCTTCAGTCCCTTCATTTCCACAGTGACAGGGTTAGCAGGAGACGGCTTTGGTGGAGGCAGCGGGGTGGTACTGGCAACTGCCTGCGAGACATTTGAAATGGCAGAGTGGTTCTGAGAAGGCGGAACTCTTTTCGGAAGGCAGATGATCTTGTCTTGCATGACCTGAAACACAGAAATAATATTTTCAAATTACATTATTCAAAGAGCTTTCATAATGTCGTTAGTGTGAAGAAAGCAGCAATAACATCCAATAAATGTCCATTTCCTTTGCCTGGAGAATACAACGTTCAAGTCCAGCACCAAGATTTTATTCTTAGCCCACATGTTGGAAAAAATGAAATATCTGACTTTGTTCAGCATGTCTAAGTTTTGACATAAACACAGCGGTTTTGTTAGGACAGAGAATAATTCACAAAAGAAATATTTAAAGAACATTCATGTGTGTCTAAAAATTTGCATATTTTCTCTTACTGGAGCCTGGGGGCAACTGGTCATTGGTCTGAGAAGTACATTCCCCTCAGATTCATCCTTAAACAGATGGCTCCCAAGATTATATTAGCTTGTGTACGAGAAATAAAAGGATCGGAAGGAGAAAATATGGAAGAAATCCCTGTCTTTCTCATTTCCCCTTTCATTTATACCCATATCCTGGACTACGTGCATTGATGAGTATGAATGGCTTTAATAGAATGGGAATTTACTAAGCTTCCATTAAAAACCATTTCATTTCTATGATAAAGAATACAGAAATGTGCAATAGTAAAATAATTATGTTTTAACTTGCTGGCTTTTCACACAAAATATTAATTGAGAAAAAGAAATTCTATACCTTTAGCAATACCTCAATTTGTTGAAAAGAATATTAAGCTCTAAGAATGTCCAACAGTCTCATAAGATTGCCATTTGGTCAGAGAGATCGCATCCTTTATGAAGATTTGGTTATAAGAAGCAGAATATACTTTGTATCAATCGACTTGGAGGATCTGTCCCCAGGAAGACGTCCACATAAGTGGAACTCTTTGAACAATTAGCAAACAGTACAGAGGAAGAATAATAACCAAGGAATTGACATGTGGAATTAATAATGCAGGGAAAGTCTATTTGTACCTTAAAATGTCAAATGGCTGGAAATCCATGGCAGTCAGTGATTCTGCAATGGCAAAATATTTAGCGATTTTGCAATAGCAAAGCCCTTTATCTTTATCACAGAAGTAGAAACTGAATCCATTGCAAAGTTGACTGCTGACAGGGGATGTGACTACAAACTGGTGACATGGGAGATAGAGCCCACCAAGCAGAAGGAAAGGCTTGATGCTGGAGAGAGAAGTGCACCCAGCACTGAGTAGAGTGGCTGGTACACAGGAGGCCACCAGTACACATTTGCTGAGAAAGTGGATGAATCCAGAACTGACACTAGTGTTTCCAGTTCAGAGCTTCTTAGGTCTGGCTGTGGACCATCTCTCTCCTAGGGGTGATTATAGTGATGACAGCAGTGAACTTCTGTTGTGTTTAATACGCAACTGACCCTATTCTAAAAATATCGTAAGTATTGATTCTTTTTACTGTCACCTTAACCAGATGAGACAGATAACCTTATTATTCCCATTTCACAGATGAGAAGACCAAGGCACCGAAAGGTTAAGTGACTTGCTTGTATCTTCTAGCCCAGGCCACCTGGGCCTAGAGCCCGCATTCTTATTTTATTTCACCGAATTTCCAGGGTTAAACCAAAAAGACCCCAAACTGACTTTATCCTAAATAACAAGTCACCTTATACAACTTATTCATGTTTTAGGGAAAAAGCTTACTTCTTCACATATCCTATGCAGATGACAATGAAATAATAAGGTTAGGGGAAGAAGGAAGTTTCACTAGAAGATCTGTAAAAGCTCTGTCTTGGAAGATAAATCAGGTGGCAACTACGTACTATGTAAACCCAAAGAAGGTGGGGAAGAATAACAAACATGGTTGCACTCAGAGGGTTCCATAGCTGCAGAGGTATGAGAAGTGAGCAGTGGTATGCAAACATTTTTATCACTTACTTATATCAGAGGAAAATCTTAGCATGCTCACCCAATATATGAATGTCTATTCATAATTATATCTGTAAAGTACTGTCAATCTGTATGCCAAGTATAAGACAAGCTTAATTTCCCTTTATGTTTAAATACAAGTTATCATTTTTATCTCCTATCTCAATGGAGTGTCCTTCACATTTCTTTGGAGACAAGCACTCTACCTTGGAAACTCCTGGAATAGAAAATAGTAGGAGAAGCCTAGACAAATGTCAGACTTCCTGGAAGGAATATAAAAGAGAAACAAGTAAGAAGTCCAGTGTTTGTGATCATGTTTTGGATGTTTTCCTATTTGTGATCTCATTTAATGCTCCAACAATCTGTGAAGTGGGCAGAGGGTGGGGCCAGAGACCAGCAGGGAAAAGGAGGGCTTCCCTGAGCACCTTCTATAGGAGGGACACCTTGCAGCTGGTATGTTAATATGGCATTGTCAGTGACTCCACAAAGATTCCATGTGAAAGCAGGATCAGTTAGAAGGTAAAAACACAGGCACCCCCACACAAGGACCTAACTCCCTGCAAGTAACCAGGCAGCCCCATTACTGCCCCCTGCCCAGCCCTTCCCCAGGCTTGCTCCTGCATGGCAGCTTGGCTGAATAGGGTCTCAGGTTATGCACTGTACCAGGTGCCAGCTAACGGCAGTATGGGCTGAAATCCTTGTGCTTCCCTCTCCCAGATAAGTGCCTTTGGGGCTATGATCACACAGTAGAGATGTCTTTTTATATTTTGCACAAAGGCACCCGACTGGCTAGTATCTGCCATGCTTAGGAGATAGGTCACATTCTCTCCATTTTATAGGAGAAACCAGCTAAGGTTCAGAGAACTTAACTTACCCAAGTTCACACAGGTAGGAAATGGCAGAGGAGGAATTTAAACCTGTCTTCTAGTGCCTAGTGTTTTTCTACCACACCACACCTCTTCTCATTTCACCAAGCTTCTGCTAGGATGGCTTTATAAAAAACAGCCCATGATAGAGGGTCGTGCACAATCTCCAGAATTTCCTTTTTGCCCTCTCACATCATATTTCTCTTTCAATATTCATGAAGATGGAATTTTTAAAATGTGCCTACTTAAATCCCAAGAGGGTAAAGACAATGATGTATTTTCTAGAAGCTCTCAACTACTCTGATATGAGCACAGAGTAGAAAAAATTCTGGAATTTAGTCACCACAACAACAGCTGCTCATGCTGCTGAGAGAACATCTCCTGAGAAGATCCCAGCATAGATGCAGGGCAGAGGGGGATTCCTAGAGTGCAGCAGCAGCTTGTCTAATCCAGGACTATGAAAAGGAACAGGGCAGGTTCCAGAGTCCCACAGCAAAGAGGGTGAAGATTCCAACAGTAAAATAGCCACAAAAGAGGGGAAGTAAGTGACCCTCCTCCATGTCTAATATTTCTGTATGCTACAACAGTGAGAAGAACTGAGAGAAGGATCAGAATTGTCAAAGGTATAGTAAAAAAGAGAGAAGACAGAAAAAGGTACTGCAGACAGGCTTCCTAAAAAAAGGGTAAAGGGTGTTTTTGTGTTATCTTTGTAAAAAGCAGCATCTTGTAAGAAATTGAGTTTTTGTTTTACCTCTTCTGTTCTTTTGAGAAGTTTGCCTAATTAAACCTACATTTCACTTCTCTATACCTCTACCCAGTAATTTAAAGTTCAGAATGCAAAGGAATCCATAAAGAAGGGCTACATCTCAAGTTTCAAAGGAAATCACTGTAGGCTTCGAGGCTGCTAGGGCAGGACTAAGGGGAAGTGGGGAAGGGGCGAGCAGGGAGAGAGCCCCATGCCTATCCCATTCCCCAAGATCTGGAGGCTCAGACCATCACCACCAGCTCATAAGCACATGTCACAGTGTCAAGGGGTTCCACCACTTCCTTCCACAGGCAACCCTCAGACTGCCTCTGGAGGAAAAAGGCTTGAGACCAGAGCTCGGTGGTGTGTTTGTACATAAAAGAGACACAAGTCGGCAAAAGAAATGGGGTAGGGGAGAAAAAATAATTTAAATGCAAAACTGAGTGGAAAATCTGACCCAAAATACAGCAAGGTGAGGAAGTTACTGTGCTGCAAGGGGGTGGGAATAATTCCTCCATGAAACTGAAGGAATTCACAACAAGCCTGCCCAAATGTGCCACTTTGGCCTGTGAGCTATTTTGAGCTTAACAGAGACCCTGACAGCTCAAGAGAAACTTCTACCGCTCCCTTAAGTGCCTAGAAAAATCTAAATTGGGGTCTTTCCCAAAATAAGGGTTATTACCAGAGATCAATTTTATCTGAGTGTCCCATCTGGCAGAGCATTTAACTACCAAACATTTGCTCTGCTTATTGCCCTCCTCCCCTTTGAAGCCACAGGAATCTATCACATTCCTCAGCTCAGGACGGCATACACACTTCATTTTACCTTTCTGTCTTTGAACCTGTAGTGGATGTGGGGTTCCCGTAGGTACGAAATTAAATTTGATTTTTCTCCTATTAATTTGTCTTAAGTCAATTTAGTTCTTAGACCAACGAGAAGAACCTTAAGGGTAGAGGGAAATGTTTCCTCTCCAACAAAATCGTCCAGGTTAAGGAGGTAAGTTAGTTTGGAAATGACGAGAAGAGTGAGACAGAAGAAAGTGAGTCACTGACAGCAAAGGTCAGTGAAGCCGAGGCAATGAGGATGGCTCAACTAGCCACTCAGCATCGGGAAGAACAGGCGTGGGGCAGGAGGAGGCGAGGCGGCAGAGCTGAGAGGGCCTCCAATCGAGGAACTAGGTTAAGCAACACGGTAGGAGGCTGGAGTATATACTCATTATTTCTATTTTGAGATGTGAATACCTTTCAATCTTCCTCAGACCTTTGGTAAAAACTGCTAACCACATGCATACACAGATGCATACACATACCTTTTGTTAATGAATTTTGTAAAAATCACAGCAAAAAGGGACTCAATTTCATCCTTGGATCAAAACCATACAGAGAGGGAAAGTTTGCATGGATGGTAAAAATCTATGCTGTTTCCAGGGAAGCAACACCTGGGACCATGAGAGCCCGGTCCTCCCAGGAGTCCGGCAGGACTTGGAGAGGGCCACAGGCTGGAATTCAACCAATATC